AGTTGAGAAAAATGACGGAATTGCCCCCGGCGCGATTTTTGTTTCCGATCATCCTGTCAAATTTTAGCCCATTCTGACACAGTCGCGAAAAATGATTGAATTGCCCCCGGCGCGATTTTTGTTTCCGATCAACCTGTCAAATTTTAGCCAATTCCGAAACAGTCGCTAAAAATGACCTTTTGATGATGCTCAACGGGTTATTAGGTCGCAAGACCGAACATTCGGGCCCTTTTTAGGGCGAAACATATCTTCGTGTTCGATTTCTTAATTTTCTACAAATCTATTTTTTACTGCAAAGCAATCAATTTTTGAGACTTAATAATCCTTCGACTTAACAAGTTGTTACTCATTAAAAAGGAGAAAATATATACTATTAAGTAAATATAATTATGTTATTCAAATCTAAGGATTTCCATAAGAAAGCCATACTCAGGTAAACGCTTCATTATGCATCACAATATAAGACTTGGACCCAACATACTAATATTATTTCTGCTTTAAAACCAAATACAAAATACTAAAATCTTAACTCATAATATGTAAATAACAAACTGAAGAAAACAATAGAAAATGACCAACTTTGACGTGCAGTGTAGAAGATCCGAAATCCTGCGACGCTTTCTCCGGTACCACCTTGCATATAAGCATACTCCTCACTCCTCTTTCGCTGCCGGCGTCACTGCTTCTGCTGGTTTCTCCTCCTCCGCAGCTGCTTCCTTCACCGGTGCATCTGTGCATTCAGGGGCTTCTTCTTTAGTCTCCTCAATAGCAGCCTCCTTAGGAGCTTCAGCCTCTAATTTTTCTTCCACGGGCTTTTTGGGTGTAACTTCTTTGGTCTCATCTTCTGCCACGGTCTTTTCTACTGCAACCTCCTTAGTCTCGACTACAGGAGTAGCAAGTTCCTCAGCTGGTGGTGCAGCCACCTCTTCTTCGGTTGCTTGCTCTTGTTCCTCCGTCGGCGGTACAGCCACCTCTTTTTCGGTGACTTGCTTTTGTTCCTCCACCTCAGCTGCTGGTGCTGCAGCCACCTCTTCTTCGGTTTCTTTCACTTGTTCCTCGGCCACCACCTCGGGGGCGGGAGTTGCAGCCACTTCTTCTTTCGGGACGTCTACAACGGTCTTCACTTCCTCAGTTTTAACAGTCTCTGCTACTGGCGTTGGAGCTGACACAACCTATTGAAGGCAAAATTTTTAAGAGATAATAGAAATACGGATAGAAACGATCATTATTCATTTTCTCTGTACAGATAACATTTCCCTTTGTAGGATTAAAATTGATTTTGAACCAAAAACCTACTTAATTATCATTAAAATACCGCTACTTTTTCTGTGCTTAGCAGAAAAGTATATTGGATGAATACACATATGCAAGTACAGAAAAGAGATCACCATTGATCTATTATAAAACTAGTCAATTTTGATTAGTGCATGAATTTTTAGATAAAATCATTGGAGATTATAAACAGACCTTAAACTATATGAAAAAAAACTTGATTGATCTCGAGCTGGTTGCACCAAGCAATCCAAAACGAGAACTCGATCAAGATTTTGATATCTAACAAAATACAAATTTCAAGAAAACACTGTTTTGTTCTATACCTGAGCTGTAGCCATTGTGATTGAAACTGTGGTGATGAAACTTGGAAAGAAGAGTTATTTGCTAGTGAATGTGAGTGAGGATGAGACGACTGATAAAGTAGAGGACTATTTATAGAGGTGCAAATTGATGTAAAGGGCATTAGGCCCATGTCTTTGTCCAGTTGTAAATGGTTTTTCTTTACGGAAAATTATTTCAAGAATGAGATTTCTTTTCTCTGTGTTTGTTTTTGAATGGGCAATCCCACATGGTGGAGGCCATTTTGCATGTAGTTATCATACCTGGCTCATTGTGTGCTTTGTGCAGTAGGGCTTCTAGGTGACTACCATCATCATGCTATCATGTTCATTCAAGATTTTTTTAATCTGCCTGATACAGATTTTTTAAAGTTAAATTATTATTATTCTTTATCTATTTCGTATGACACAGTTCTGTATGAACTAAATGTCCGTTTGGCATGACTTTTAAAAAGTACCCAAAAGTTATTTTTGAACATATTTGACTAATTATGTAAATAAAAGAGTTTTTAGAGAAAGTTGAGTTTAACGTGGCTTCCACTAAAAGCACGAAATTTCGAAATAGAAAGATCTTTAAAAAATTAGTTTTCAAATAAAAATTAAGATAATTTCCTTCAAAAGCTCTTAGACAGGAATCAAAAGTAAAAGACATAACTTACACATATCGATAGAATTAGAAGGTAGAAGTATAAAACATGTATAGTCGTCACTAGAAAAGGGGTGAAACAGAAGATTGCTATCAAATTACTAAAAGCTTCTAAATGAATTTAAGCAGCCCATGTGAACGATCAATGAGATTTAAAAAATAAAAATGAAAAATGTGTTTTCAAGAAGGAAAAACGTATGGAATTCTATCAATAACGTAGTTTTACCATCATTTTTTCTGCAAAGCCGTGCAGATTACGGATTTTGTTCCTCTTTTTTGATAATTGCATGAATACTGTCTTTATACTAGCATGCATAATGATTGATATGTCACAATTTTTGAGCCAAACCTACAACAGAGAAAGATCATGCTCCTTATTAAAATCAGATTTTTAATAAAATTTGATAATATGTATAGTTAAAAAAATTGTAGGTCTCATGAAATACGTTGTTAAAATTAATTATTGATTTTGATTTAAATTAAAATTTAGATTTTAATTCTTACTAAGCAGAGGTTTTTTTAACTTCTTTCCTCACAATATTACTGCCTTGTCTCGTTGCCCAATTATCCTATCGTATATGCTTCAAGCTAGAAGCTACTTCTACCTCTCTACTCATGGAAAGTCAATGAGTTGTACTCTATACATAGTGGTCGATCTAATAGAAGCTTCGTCAAAAGCGATTAGTTACTTTTCGAATGCCTCTGTATTTTACATTATTTTAATTTAATTTATTTCTTTTTGTCATCAACGTACATTACTATAAGAGTAAGTTAGCTTCTCGTTACAAAAAACGAGATATAAGTCTATCGATTCATGTTTATTTACAATATTAGAAGAGAAGGTTTAGTTATTATTATTATTTTGATTTTCCTTTTTTTAGTTTTGTTTCGATATTGTTAAGTAATCTTGTCAAATAATCTCTTTAACCTAATCCCACCAATGTAAAATAACACAAAATGTGGCAAAAATGTAATAATTTTGCCCCGAAATGATGGAAAACTACAAATTAGTAATTGGGTCAAAATCAAAATGTTTAACCATTTGAAAACTTAGGTAGCTAATTGATGATTGTGATGAGCCAAAAGCCAAGCAGCCGGGGACAAGGCCGGTCACTAAGTGGGACCCAACTGTGAAAAACCTATGTTTACGTCCTCAATCACGGCATTGCTTATTTCGTTTGCAATATTAGACTGTACAAAATAATCATAATACAAATTTTAAAATATTTTACAAAAATTTGCTGAGTAATTTATTGAGTATGTCATCAATAAATGGATTTTCACTTTTCATCTCGAATCTTTCAAAAATGTAACAAATCTATCCTCAATTTTTAGCGTAATACATACCAAATATTTTAATTAAGTAGCAGTACTCGTCATTTTATTCACGTTAGCCCATTTTATTCATGTTAGCCATAAAAGTCACGTAAAATGACGAATTTGCATCCCCTTAAAAAATTCAAAAATGTAAATAGATAACAACTAAAATAATTGACAAAATATAAAATAATTGTTTAAAAAAATGAGTGGCATGGGTGGGTGGGTGGTTGGGTTACTTGGGGAAAAAGACATTTCTACTTTATTTATAAATCATTTTCTTGTTATAATTTGCTTAAATGCTATCTATATTTATTTTTTGAAAAAGATTTGGAACTCTGCAGTTTTTTTTTTTTGTTAGTATATATTATTATCTTATCAAAATATCGGGTTGTGCTACTTAATTGAAAGGTTGAAGATAGACTATGCTAAAAAAAAAAGTCAATGATAGATTTATTACTTTTTGTAAAGGTTATGACGAGACATAATAAAATAGTAAATTCTTCTTTAGTGGGGATTAAAGTTAAAATATTAGTAGATTTTAATAAAAGTCAATGAAATATATTGTTAAAAATTGTGAATTTCATAAAATATGTTAATTAAAATTAGTTGTTGATTTTTTACTTAAATTAAATTTTGAGTTTAAATTCTATCAAACGGGACTAAATATATAGGGCCCGTTTGGTAGGGATTTTGAGAATTGATTTTTTGACTGTTAGAAGAAAAGTGGGGTCCACATGTGAGAGAATAAGTCAAAAATTGCGACTTGAATTGTAAAATAACGGTCAAAAAATCAATTTTTTGGTACAAAAAATCCCTACCAAACGAGGCCATAATTTTGCTAGAAAATATTGGCAGCAATTAGCATCCAAGAAACAGCTATCTTCGGAGAATAATGTTGTTCGAACAGGGCCTAGTGACCTTGATAGCAGTTCTCATCTCTGAACATGCGAGTTAATTTTCCAAATAGTCACTGAACTTTGCCAAAAATTCAAAAAAGTTCATCGTATTTCAAAACTTTCCTAAATTCTCATTGAACTATGTCAAAAATTTTCAGAATGTCGCTGAATTTCAAAACTTTCCTCAATAATCATCGAACTTTGTAAAAAGTTCCTATAGGGTCACTAAACTAGTGATGTATGTGTCCCAATTTGCAAAGTTGAGTAACCCCCTAGGATAGTGATGTATAGGTCCAAATTTGCAAAGCTGAGTGATCCCCCAAAATTTTTTTACAAAGTTTAGTGACTATTTAGGAAAGTTTTGAAATTCAGTGATCACCTAGAAACTTTCGGCAAAGTTCAGTAACTATTTAGGAAAATTTTGAAATTTAATAATCTCTTGATAACTTTTGGCAAAGTTTAATAACCATCAGGATAATTAACTCCTGAACATGCATAGAAAGTGGGTCCCATCTGAAGAAGAGGGACCCACTTGCGTGCGGTCATATAATCCACGTTGGATCATAGTCATCAAAACAAGACCTCGTATTGTGTCTCTCTCTTCTCTCCTTTTTGCTTTTGCATGATTATCAATGTTAGAGAATTAATCGATCTATTCTACCCATAAGCAAAATGATGACTCAAGACCTCTATAAAGTTTCACCCTTGACAAAGTAAGAATCATTATAATTTTTGGAAAAAGCCGTTAGAGCAGAAGGGCAATGTGGCGCCTCACATCGGCGCCTTGAAAGGACAGTGTCGTCGTGGCCCTATTCGTCCAACAAAACTGATAATTTTTTAACTTGACCTTTAATGTTTGCGGGACAGCCTGTGGGCCCTTTTTCATAATTTTATCGAACTTTGATTAATTTGGTGAAATGTGCCGTCTTATATTTAAATCAAAATTAAATTTTCAGTAAATTTTGATAAAAGTTAATTAAATATATGATTTAAAAATTGTTGATCCCATAAAACATGTGGTTGAAAATAAGTTTAAAAAAAATAGAAGTCGTACATGAACAACAATTCTATAAGTCCCTATTTGATGGGTATTATAAAGTGTATCGTTAAGAAGTAGGAAAAATTTTGAATTTTAGTATAAAATATTTTATTGTGAATGTATGATTAAAAATGGGCATAAAAATAAATATTTTTAATCTAAATAGAGTTAAAGTGGGGCTAAAATAGAAATCAAGATCCTCCTAGCCAAGAGCTAGATTCTGGAAATGGTAAAAGAGTAGCCACACAATTTTAGGTTAACACATTTTGTATTTAATAACATTTTTATGTTGGAAAGTTTGTTGAAATGGTGTAGAATAACTTATTTTTCATCATATTTTTAAAAATAAATAAATAAAAGGTTCGAAAAAAATAAAAATAAATTTTCCCTTATTTCAAATCTTAAAAACAAAATATTTTGATATAAATTGTCATCGAAGATGGTGCATACTAATTAATGGAATGTTGAAAATAAAAGTTAAACAGAAAATGTTAGAAAATAATTGTTACAATGAATAAAGATCGAGAAGTTTAGTTGTAATTAAAATATAGTGGTAACAAATAATAATTGTGGCATCAGTATATTCACAAAATAATTATACTATTTGCAATTACTAATTATCGTAGTTGTCCTTCATAGCATACATGTGACGGTTACTAATTTGATATATGATGTAAAAAAATCACATTAATATATCAAATTACAAATTATCATACAAGATGATACGTAAGATGACTATTCTAATTACGATTATAAATAGCATTATTCTTTGTAAAAATAATATAAAGAGTGGCTACGTTGTTTAAGGTGGATATTCTCTGTAAAGATAAAAAGTTGATTTGACAGATGGACGGTGGAGAGTTCCCACCCTACACAAGACAGGCCCACGAGGATTTGTGCTGTAATCCGTGGCATAAACAAATAAGAGTAGGCCACGTGTAAATTTATAAATCGGATCGCATCCAAACGTACCTTCAGTCATTTTCCATATTGGCTACATTTTCACCAGATTCAATTTAGTGCATCATATAAGGTTTGACGTAATTAAGGTAGGATTTTTCCCCGTGTACAGAAGACGGGTTCATAGAATCTGGTCAGATAACTCACATAAAGTGGGTTCCATCTAAATAAAAAATGGCCAAAAATTAATCAGAAAAAGTATGCCTATTATCACTCATTAAGGTAACATTGTTTGTGTTCAATCTAATCTGATGGATTGGACCTAGCTCAGACTCTCTCCGTATAAGTAATTTACAAGTTATTAGTAATTTGAATTTTTAGAAATATATAAATGAAAAATTAGTCTAATATTTATAAACATGATATGAACAATAACAAAGGCATGAAGAGGCATTAAGGCAAGCACAAGGTGAAAAACAGTATACGAATTGAGAGTTCCATTAGTTTACCCATTTGACTGTGCCTAATATTCTGGCACGTTTTAGCTTTTGATTGATGATCATTATTATGAAAAAAATGTTTTAAATAGTAATTTTGAAAATAAGTTTTGAATTTACACATAAAAATATTTTATTATATGAATGTACCGTTAAAAACGAGTATAAAAATTAAAGGTTAATTGGCACAAAATATCCCTACCTTTCAAGGTTTTCGTGGAAAATGTCCATACATTTCATTTTTTGGTATTTTCACCCCTATGACCTTACCTTTCACTTTTCATTGTGCAAAAAGTCATTTTCGTCAGTTTTGACGATTTTACCCTCCTATTCAAATAAAACAAAAATAAAAAAATAAAAAAAAAATGAATAATTAATTGCAACCACAGTTCCAATTTTTCAATAAAAAAAAATACAAATTAGTCAGAAATTACTAATTGCTCCCCTGACGAAGGAAGCAGTGTACGCTCGGTACCAATGACCTCCACCATAAAATTAACTGGATAACACAATAAACTCGTGCTGTTCACTTGCATTGAGCAAATTGCATTTTTCTTAGGTTTCATAATATGAGATGTACGGGCTATTCAATGAATGTAATTCTCGAGGCTTGCAGGAAAATTTCAATGCTATATGATTTGGGAAGTGAGATGGGTAATGTTGCTTTTAATGGATTAGAGCAAATGCATTTTGTTGATTATTTAAAAAAGAATTCACATATGCATTTAATATGAAAGGATGCAATTGATTTTTGACTGATTTGTAATTTTTTAAAAATTTGGGACTATGTTTACAATTAGTTTTTTTCTTTTATTTTTGTTTTATTTGAATAAGAGGGCAAAATCATCAAAAAGGATGAAAATGACATTTTGGACAATGAAAGGTGAAAGGTATAGTTGAAAATGCCAAAAAATAAAATGTATGGACGTTTTTCACAAAAATTTTAAACGATAGGGACGTTTTGTGCCAATTACCCAAAATTAAAAACTTATTTTTCAAGAGAGACAAACATAAACTTACTATTCTGCCATGATTGTCCAAACGTTTTAGTCTTTGAAGTTCGTTTACTACTGTAGTTTATTTAGGAACTTGGTCCATCATTGAGGGCCGTCTGTCTTTCCAAAATAAACTTCTGATGCTCTCCAATTTTTTGCCAATAGTTGGGGGACATAAAGGTTATGCTAGTAAGAATATAAGACTGAAAATAAAATTAAACCTATTTGGACAAATCTTAAGTCACAACCAAATATCTTATATCCTTCATGGAAGTTCTTCATACATTATTTGAACAAGGAAATTGGAGAGCTAACCATTTGTCAAAATAGGCAACCAGTCTCCCGGACATCGTCTTTAATTAAAAATCAACACGATTAAAAATACATGTAATAAGCTCGGAAGCCAGTCGTCTTCACTCGTTACTTTGTGAACATTTGAAGTTTATGCCAACTTCAAGGCTTAAGGCGACGTGTGCTGTGTGCACCAGTAATGAAGTAACACCATGGAGAAGGTGTAACGTTACAAGCTGGTAACTGCCAGCTCTTACAGTTCCTCAACTAACAAGTTTCTTCAACACAGCTTCTGCCCGCTGCTCAAATTTTGGCAAGGCCCATTCATGTTGAACAATGTCTAGACTGTCTTTCTCCGCGCCCAAACTCTGACCAGAATTATGCAAGAATTATAAATTAAGACACGATATGACCTACCAAGCAACCGACACCTGGTCCGAAGTTCACATAACATAGATAGCTGACATAATAAAAAAAATCTATAGCAAACTGAACAATAAAGAAGGCCAAGTTCAAAAAACATGCAATCACAAACTTCAAAAATAAGATTGGTCAAACGCACTGTAGTAATAGCATATTTGCAATATATTTTTCAATCTTATGTGGGAAAAGGTTTCAGAAGAAACCAACTAATGTAAAAAATAGCACACGATATTAATGAGAAAGAAATGGCAGAAAAATTGTAAAACATTTGTACCCTTGTCGGATCAAATCCAAATCCACTCATTTGCATCATGCGTTGTGTGTCATCAGTTGCTGCATCAAATAGACATGTTCATGTTCGATCAGATCTAAAGTATTTACCCTAAAATTGAAATGGATAGCTGTCCAGTCATAGTTATCTTTTATTATGCAAGAAAGAAAGAGAGAGACAA